TCTACTGCTAGAGTTCTGCCCCAAGCAATTGTTTGTTTTGGGCACACATTTTTTCCTTCAAATACAAAGGCACACCTGCTTCTCCATAGACTCCAGCATAAAAAGCTGATGTGAAACCACACCCAATTAAAATTTTCCTTGTCCAACTTAGTAATCACTCCAAGCAGCCACTCATCGATAGTGGTGATACTTTGCCTATCAACCCGATAGCATAGCACACTTCCAAACCAGACACTTGCGGTCCAATTACAGAAAAACAGTAAATGCTCAATTGTTTCCAGCTCATTTTCACAAACCGGGCACAATGGGGATAAGCCCAAATGCCTACGAAAAAGGAGAGCCCTTGTAGGAAGACACCCTTTGACTGCACGCCACAAAAAGTTTTTGATTTTTGGGGTTAGAGGGGAACACCAAATGAGCTTCCACACCTTCTTAGAAACAAAGTGAGATCCCGAGGCTTTCAAAAGCTTTTGAGAAGGACTGTGGCAAGGATGAATCAAGTTATATCCAGATTTAACAGAGTAGCAGCCAGACACACTAAAAGGCCAAATCAAACGATCAGATTCACTACCTCCTCCAACAGGCAAGGCTTTTATCCTTCGAGCATCTTGAACCGAGATTCTCCCATTGAGAGATGATAAATCCCAACTTTTGGTGACGGGGTTAATGATTTCAGACACTAAAGCATATTCGTCCACTATCTCATCATTTATAGGATGTAGTAAGCCATCTGGCGACACAGGAATCCATTTATCAACCCATAGCCTTACCCTGGTTCCATTTAAGATCTGCCATTGAGACCCCCTTATGATCACTTTCCTGCCCTCCAGCAAGCTAGCCCACGCCCACGATGCTCGAGCACCTTTGCTAGCTTGAAGAAAGTTACAAGAAGGAAAGTATCTGCTTTTCATCATCAAAGCCCAAAAAGAATTTTGATCTGTCAGTAGTCTCCAGCCTTGTTTAGCAAGTAAAGCCCTTGGATTTTCCAAGACGGGTAGGAACAGAACCAGTGAAATGGTTCAAGCTAAGGTTCAAGCTTTTGAGCCCAACTAACCCATCTAACTCTAAATCAATGGCTCCACTCAACCTATTATGAGACAAGTCTAAGAACTCCAACCCAGCAAAACCAACAAATACAGGCAAAGAACCCTCCAAATTGTTATAGCTCAAATTGAGTAGCTTTAGCCCATCAAGTTTTCCACAATCTGAGAGAAACCCAGATGGGATTTTGCTCAGACAGTTGTGTGAAACATCAAGACTCTGCAAGGACTCAATCTGGCAAACAAGGGGCAGAAAATCTGAGGAAGATAGAGAAACACCAGATAAGGAAATTTGGATAACAGATGAATTGGAGGGGGGCTTGCAGTTAACTCCTTTCCACAAACATGGGTTTGGCTCTTTGTTGACATCCCATGAAATACCAGTGACATTTAGACTCATGGAGAGATTGATCATAGTGGTTTTTTGGTTTGAGGATAGTTGAGACAAAACCATAGGATAAAAAGAGAAAGAGAAGGAAAAGAAGAAGAAGAACAAGTACCTGGCCATTTCAGCTGTGCGTCAGACCTTGGACTAAATTCCTGTTATGAATTTGAAAGCAATTGAAAACAGAGTTTTATAAACACAGACAGGGTTTGAGGAAAACAACTTACTGCTGGGGTTTATGGCCGTTTTGGGGAATGGAATTTTGTGGGGGAAAAAAGAGAGGAAACTCAAAAAATTGTGGGACCCATTGGGTCAGCTCAGTTAGTGGGCTGTAAAGAAGACGACTGAGCTGAGACTAAACAAAAGTCTTGAGTGGGTCCATTTTTCCCCTACAACGCGGGTGTTCACCAACTTGTTCGAAAAACGTTTTTTTTTTTTTGGTCGAATCACACTTTCATTGAAAGAGAAAAGAGGCAACGGACAGACCAAGTCAACGAACAGCCAAACAAGCAGCCCAAACTAAAAAACAACACAGCCAAACACAAAGGAGCAAAAGCTACAACTCCCGCACAACTCTTCTAGGTACTAAGAGAAGCCACCCTACTACACCAGCCCAAAAACAACACCCCAAAAATTCCAGCTAGGACAAAACAACTAGGATGCCACCCCAGAAGGCGAGCGTCAGGTCCTAAAGCCATCTCCAGTCATGGGCTATATCCCAAATATAGCCCTAAAGTAATGCAAAACTCATCTTCAGCCGTGGGCTAAATAAAATTTTGGTCAAATTTGAAGGGCCACATTTGGCCCTTTAGCCCTCCAACCGGGCCAAATGTAGCCAAACTTTGGCTTAGGGCAAATTCATTGTGGACCCCACCATATGCTTTTCAACCACCAAATATTAAATTACTTCCCACTTGCCTTTTAAAAACTGGATATATGTAGAGTTTTAAATAATAAATAGAGCACTAGTCTGCCATGTATCACAACGAACCTGCAACTTTTTGAATGTTTCTTCTTGGCAATGATCGTTACATGCAACCAACGAAGTCATAAATTATTTCCTACGAACCTGCAGATTTTTTGGTCGATTATTTTTATTATTTCTTGACCTACACACTCCCTTTTTTAAATAAAAAAAAAATCATAAATGTGGTCAGCTTTGCCATCATTTAATTTTTATTATTTCTTGAACCTGCAAATATTATCTCTAAATAGTAGTTTAATTAAATTAAACAATATATAGTTGTTGAATGCATGAGTGTTGTACCATAGTTTTTGTCAAAATAATAAAAATATGAATGACCCAAAAATATAGCCATGCATGGCTGGAGATGGAAAAATTTAGCCCTGCACTATTTTTTTAAAAATTAATATTTTGGGGGGCTAAATTTTTAGCTATGGACTACATTTAGCCCTATAACTGAGATGGCCTAACTAGACAAAAATATTACACCTGTGGAGGACATGGGAGGTCATCGCTTTGGAGCACGAACACTAGGGAGGATGGGTGTCGGCTGATCCAGACCTCATCCAGGCCCGGCCCTGACCAAGGGCAATCAGTGCAACTGTCCTGACCCCATTAATCAGGGGGCCCAAATATATATATATATTTTTACAGTAAGTATTATATTATATTATTATAACTATTAACTAATTTAAATTTTTGAAAAGGAAATAAAAAGACCAACAATCTGGTCTGTTCCACTTCTTAAGAAGAAGAATGTTTTTGTGCGCCTGTTCCTATTCCACTCCTCTAGGTCACTTTTACTTCTTCTTTCTCTTCTTCTATAGAGTTTTGAATCCTCTCCTAAGCCTCATATAAGCTGGTCCTTGTGATTTGTGAATCCAAAATCCTAAGCCTCCATCTAAGTTGGTCCTTATGAATCCTCTTCTTTTAGTTACAGGTTAAAATTATTTCTGTTGGTAGATTGGGGAGATTCCAAAATCCAAAGTGTGGGCTTTTATTCAGTGCAAAATTGGTTCTTCTAGAAATCAATTGAAGGTAATTTTTTATGATTTGATATCAATTGAAAAGGGAAATATGAATTTTTTTTTTTGTTTTTTTTTTTTTTGTGGTTTGTTTGAAGATTTGTGAACTCATGCAATTACACATTCTCTTTGCAGGAATTCTTTTAAGCTTTAATTGATAGTAAATTTGGAAATATCAAGTTTGTTTCCGTGGAAGGGGATTTCTCAAATTCCAGGTTATGTTGTTCTTTGTTTATTCTTTGAAGCATTAAAATTGGGGCCTAATTTTACCATTAAGTTTAAATATATTTATAGAGGCCTAATTTTTACTTTTGCCTTGGGCCTTGAAAAATTCAGGACCGACACTAACCTCATCGCACATCTTCCTCTTTGCTTCAACAGCTGCAGCATCTGTTGCTTTGTTTGCTTTCCTTGGGATCCACTTCCAGGAGCAAGAGCCAAAAATTCTACACTTCTCCTTTAAAGCAGCAAGAGTTGGGTAGATGGTCCATCTACCTTTCTGAATATTTCCTTTAACGCTTTGTATCAGCTCCTTTGAATCAGATTCACACTCTAGATGAACATTACCCAAATCTGAGGCCACCATCAGACCATATAAGGCTGCATGGGCTTCAGCTTCAATAGGAGAAGAGGGCAACCTAACCTTTCCAGCTCCCCTTATGAAATTACCATGCTCATCACGAATGACAGCCCCTAAACCAGCAATTAAAGTCTTCTTGCCCCAGGTCGCATCCACATTTAGTTTAAAAGTTGCTTGGGGGGGACGGAGCCATCTTTGGATTGTATCAACCACCTGCAAAGTAGGTTCCTTTGCACCATGACCATTAAGATCAGCAACCTCCATTAACTCTAAAGCTAGACATTTACCCCAATCAATCGTTTGTTTTGGGCAAACACTTTTTCCTTCAAAAACAAACGCACATATGCTTTTCCATATTGTTTGGGGGTGGTAGAAATCCACCTAACTTGGGTAATTTATGAGAGCACGAAAATTGGCCGGGCAGACAAGGATATGCGGTTGGGCCTCTCAATTGCAGAACTGGGCCGCCGGGTTTTTGGAATTCCTGGGCTTTTGAAAACGCGGTGGGGTTGTATTTGGAATGCGACCGGGGCTAGGAGCTGAAAAATATGGTTGGGCTTGGAGTTTGTTACGGTTGGGACAGCTGCAGGAGATTTGGGAAAATCTCGCCCAGATTTTCAAATGGGAGGTGCGGCCGAAATTTTGGAGTGTTCGTGGCCAGGTTGGGTTGGAAGTTGCGGCTGGGCTTTAGTTCGAATGAGGCAAAGGTCACAGTTAAGTGTTGTGATTGGGAGCTACAAGAGGGAGCGAATGAATTTTTTTTTTTAAGACTAGAATATTGCGGCCAAATTTGCTGGGCCGTGCCCGATGGCTAAGAGCTTGGAAGTGGACAAGTTAGTGACCCTTGGCCATTCAATGGCCAGCCCATGGGCGAACGAGAGCCCTATATAAACTCTGCTCGATGAAGGCATCAAACACACAACATCAGACAAACAAACTTATCTTTCGTCTCACACTTTTTTTTCCTAGACTAAAGATTTTATTTTTCAAGCCCCTAGTGTAGTAAGTTCTTCATATTTCTAGTGTAAGTTTACATTTTTCTTGTCATTTAAATTCTTGTTTCAATTTATATTTCTTGTCATTTAAATTCAAGTTTGTTTGTATTACTTTAATTTTCATTGTTATCGCACTTCAATTTAGTTTAATTTCAAGTTTATTTTAATTTATCGTTCTTATCGCTTTCACTTCATTCTTGCTTTATTTATCGCTTTGATTTATTTTATCACACTTCAATTCTTTTCTTTACGTTTATACGCATATTTAGTTTAATTGCATTATTTTTACATAAAACCTTCAAAATCACAAAAAACATCTGTACGAAACCTAACCATTGTCGAGCCCGAGAAAGTGAAAGAATCTAGGCCAAGAGGAGGTTCCTTGCTTGGCCGATCAATCGTTTGGTCAGAAGTTAGAAGCGCAACATATCCACCTATTCACATTCCATTCAAGCCCAAATTCGGGGCTTGGTGGTGGCACGCTGGCATCCAAAAGAAGAAGGACCAGAAGTTCCTTCCGTTGGCTGCTCTGGCCGAAAAGAGGGAAACATAATTTGGCACACCTAGTGGGAGTTTTAGGTTTTGTATGGTCGTAAACACTAGGAGGAATCCTAGAAGAGATCAAGAATTTGAAGAATCTAGACTTCGATCTGAATCAGAGACAAGCATGTCTGGTCCACTCCCTACGAGTACTCAGCCACAAAATGTTCCGACCACTCAACAAGAGTAAAATGGCCGCGGCCGTTGGCCATGACCCAGTGTTAGTTGAGGATGTTACGGAAGTCGCTGGGGGACCAGTCTTGAGGCCGAATCCGGCCACTTCATTGGAACTCCAACAACTCATGCTTGTCATGGAGACAATGGTACAGACGATGGCCACTCAAAATGCTCAAATCAATGAGAGGTTTGATCGATGGTTAGGCCAACAAAATGGCCAAAATGGGAACCAATGGGCTCCCAATGGAGTACCAGCGGCCGGGCCTCAGGTGGAGGCCTAACCAAATGGTTTTGGAGTAAATCCGCCCCAACCTAATCCACCAACTAGGGGCAACCCAGCCCCAGTGATTAATGTTCGACCGATGGGCAACAATCCGTATGCGGTGGTCAACCAATTCCAAGTTTTTCCGCCATATAATCAATTCCGCTCACAAGCTTACCAAAGGGCTGGAGCCAATTTTGCTGGGCCTCATATCAACCAATTTGCTAGAGTCGGTAGTTGGAATAATCCCGGCGGGAATGCTAACAACCAATTGCTAGGGAATCAAGCAATCGATCGAGGGGCGGTCGAACAAATGATTCAAGATATGGTGCCCCATGCTAGGAGGATTGGTAGGTCAGTCTACCGAAGGCCATATCCGGAGCATTTTGACCAAGAGGAATTTCTGAGGGGTTCGAAGGTTCCGGATTTTGCACTATTTTCAGGAGACAGACTCCAATCGACCGTTGAACACATTGGCCGATTCACGGCCTAGTGTGCGGTGATTGGGCACCGCGAGGCCTTGAAACTAAGGCTATTTCCAAGTATCCTTTTACTATTCATTTTTTTTTTAATACTTAAACTATTAATTTTGATAAGCTTTTCGAATAAGATTTTCGGTTGTCACGTGTCACTATTTATTATAAAATTCTCACCTAAAATTTTAGATAACATTTTCGGATAAAATTTTCTAATTAAATTTTCGAATAAGATTTTCAATTGTCACATGTCTATATTTATTATAAAATTCACATCTCACTCATCATATAATTGAAATACATACTCACTCATCATACAATTGAAATACTCTCAGTCCTCATAGTCTGACACAATCAAGTACAAGGACGACTCAATCATTGGCGGAGGCAGTTCCACTAGATCACGACGTGGGGGAGTATATTTCCTTCGGAGGACGTAATAGTGCCATTATTTTTGACACGGAACGCATCACTGGAATTGACTGCGGGCATTGTTCACTTGAGGAGCCATGTGTAATGGTTTTCCTCTTCTTCGTTTTGCCTTGACTAATCTATTAAAAAAAAGAAATTGGAAATGCAAGAAATATATATGTAAAGACATTAAATCGAATAAAACGGAATTTTTTTTTTTTTTTTTTTACCTCATTGCCAAGATTTTGACCTATTCGAACATTTGTCCACGACCCTCCGGCTTCGATGGAAGATGACATTTGTATTTTTGCACAAATGAAATTTTGTAGTATAAATTTGGTGTGGAAAGTGAAAAATATTGGAAGGAGATGAGTTTTTATGAAGATTTGGTGTAGAAAGTGAATAAAATTGTTAGGTCAGATTTCTGGAAAAAAAGATCGAAGCGTCCCTGTCGCGACACGTGGCACTTTACCGTTGGATTCTGCCAGCGATGACGTCAGCGCGCGAAAATCAAATTTTTTTTACCATTGGCGAGTGTAATTCACGCGCCAACAGTAAAAAAAATATGCTTTATTGTGCGCTGACGTCAGCGTGATGCCAGCGCTGACGTCACAAAACTTGGGCTTCAGCCCAGGCAGAAGTTGCCCTTGGGCTTGCCAGGGCTGGTGGGACCCACCACGAAACCGGGCTGCTTCTCTTGCGCTGGAGCCATGTCGGGCTCGCCAGGGGGCCCTTTCCCCCAGTTTGGGTCCTGCGCTGGACCTGCTCTTACGGGGGCAGCTTTCTCATGGTATGTTAAGCTTCCACAAAACTCCGTCCCAAATTGACAAGTTATGGAGCAAGTCTTCCACGTGCAATTCTATCGACCGGAGCCGAAAGTCTCAATGGCCGACTTGGTGAAGATAAGCCAGAAGCCAAGTGAGTCGGTCCAAGAATATTTGGGGCGATTTAGAGAAGCAAGGGCTAGGTGCACGGTCAATATGCCAAGGCACGAGTTTGCAAAATTGGCCCAATGAGGTTTGTTGCTTGACCTTCGAAAGAAATTCGAAGGAATTAAGTTTCGCGACATTTATGATCTCCTACTTTGAGTGGACCGATATGAAGCCCTTCTAAAGGAGGAGCAACAAAAGGGGCGGCCGGCACCTCGGCCGACATTTTATAGGGATTCAACCAAACCTTCTGGGTCTTGGACTACGGCGGTCCACGCGTTGGACATTGAAGATATAGACTCAGAAGAAAGAGGTGATGAGGTTTACCTAGAAGAGGAAGAAGAGTCAGCCGGGGTAAATTTGGCCGAGATTATGGCCAAAGGGCCATATGTGTGCAAAGCTTTGTTTAAAGCCTCTAAGGATCAAAGGCCAACCACGGCCCAAATGTCCAAGTTTAGTGGAACCTCCCAAAAGGCAGTCGTGACAAAGTCCTACATGTTTGATATTTCTAAAGCTGAACAAATTTTCGACCAACTTTTGAAAGAAAAGATCATAAAATTGTCTAATGATCATGATATTCCGTCGGCTAATGAACTTAGAAATAAAACTTATTGCAAGTTTCACAATGTGTGGTCTCATACGACTAACAATTGTTTGGTTTTTCTGAGTGCCGTGCAGGATCTCATTGATCAGAAGATCTTGAAATTTCCGGAGAAAGCTACAATGGGCGTCGACCAAAACCCTTTCCCAAATGTTCAAGTCAACATGGTGAACACTAACTTCCCAAGGCCAGACCAACCTAGGCCAAGGTTGGACTTGGGTGGCTCTGCAAGTGCCGCAGCAAAAAGAAGGGCAAGGGAGATTCCGGCAGATCCTAAGGTAAAGGGCAAGGCCAAAATGTATTCGGAGGTGGCCAAGGGTCTCGAGACAAAAGTTTCGACCAAGGAAGAACCTCCAAAGGCCATTGTGCTATGCAATCGGTGCCAATGTGAGGTGACTCTCGAAGTGGTTCCGCCAAAGCCCAAGGAGCCAACCAAGGAACCCACCATGAGGCTGATTAAGGAGCAAACCAAGGATCAAGTCCAAGTGGGCAGATCTAGGAGTTTTGAAAGGAATATGATAACATGTCCGGCCAAGAATTACGGCCCACATAGCCCAAGGGGTGGAATGGAAGTGAGGCCGAACAAACGGCCATTGCATGAGTACCAAGATAGGTATGAGAGGCCGAGATATCAACCGAAGAGGAGAAATCAACATGCCCCTCTAAGGTATGAAGACATTGATGCGCCAGACTCAAGCCAAAACTTAAGCATGTGGATTTCAGTGGGAGAAGGCAAAAGCTGAGATGTGGCCTATGTGTCAAGACCTCGCCCCGCAGACAGTAGTGGTGTCTCTACTTTCAAGGTGCCAAACACAAAGGCGGGCCAATGGTATAGAAGCAGAGGCCCAAAGCTCCCGCCGGTACCTCTGAGCA